GGCTGGTGAACATTTTTGGTGGGGGGGCACAGTCTGCAAATGACCTTTTATTTAAAATCAGAAATTAGAATATGAGTAACATCAGGAACAGCTATTTACAGGAATGCAAATTTTCTGCCTTTGGAGGATATTCTAATCATAGTCTAATTTAACATTATCAAGACTTACCAGAACTAAATTTCAAAAGCATGCATCAAACTTTCATCAAAATTTACAGGACCTGTACAACTCAAAACACACAATGGAAATAATGAAAAAACACTATTCAGGGCTCCAGACCAACTTTTTCACTGGTAGCACCGGTACGAGCCACTTTCTCATTTTGTTGCACCTCCCACCTGGTCAAAGGCAAAACATATGTCCTGCTGAACATTTTCTTATTGATAGATGCTATGATTTACTGATGCTCCCTGAACGCCCCACACAGCAAGCTGTGGTAGCTGCTGTTTGGTGGCTGTGGGGTGCTCTGACAGGTGTGACCAAAATGACTTTAAAAATAATAAACTAGGGCGTTCTCATGTCAGATTTGTCTGAGATGAAACCGAGTTACATGTATTCTACATGCAGCCTCTTCTATGAGCGGAAAAACAGCGAATGCAGGTGCACTCTGTTTTTCACGAGAAGACCTCATTTTTTAGCGTAAATACTGCAATACACCAAAGTTATAGAAGTACTACTTTCCACCACTGTGGTTAACACAACAGTTTCCTGTGCCGGTTACAGCAACACTAATACAGCTTCATGATCATTATGCTCATCAATTCACACACTCTCAAAAAAAGGTTGAGGAAGAGAGCCGGGATCCATGCTAGGCTAAAGGCTAACCCCTCCAGACCAGCAGGATCCATGCTAGGCTAAAGGCTAACCCCTCCAGACCAGCAGGACCGTCACTCCTACTCTCCTGCTCCCTCAACAACAAGCTGGACGAGCTACGTTTGCTGGGAGAAGCCCTCAGAGAGTGGAGAGACTGCTGTGTGTTTGCTTTAACAGAAACATGGCTCCATGACGACATCCCAGACGGACATACAGCTGGAGGGGACGACATTATTCTGGGCGGACAGACAGGCAGCGAGCTCTGGGCAGCATCTGCAGCTTCACCATCGTCACACCATCGTGTGTGTCTTTGTGTTCCTGAAGACCTACCAGACCTGAAGAGGTTCACCATGTTCAACGAATGGTGGCACGCATGGATGCAGCGCCCCCTTCAGGAGACACATTTAGTGTCTTATCCAAGACGTGCATTCTGCAAAACTTGCTGGTTGAATAATCCTGAAGAAACGCTCTCTCATCTTGCCTGTACGACTGTGAATGTACAGCAAAATGACAATAAATTTGATTTGAATTTGAATTTGAATTTGAATTTGAATTTGAATTTGAAATGCAGCCTGAAGCCCTGCTATTTGAACAAAAAATGGGCTCTTCTCTCTTTCTGCTCTGCAAACTTATTTATTACTTTTTGGTTGAAGTCACTCATCTCTGTGACCAATCTTTTCTCCATTGGCAGCATGGCCAATGCATTAAGCCGTCATGACAGCAGCTGTCATCCAGCAGAATACGAGGGGAAAGGCCGTGTGACGTGTCAGAAAGCGCAGTCGTAAGAACGTCAAAGGACAGTTTTGATGTCCAACCACAGAAGACAAAAGCAAATAAAGACAAAATTAATTAGCTTACAGCAAAAGTGGACGAGTCCGGGACGCACCGAGCTGCACCCCGTGAGAAAATCTGCAGCTGCCAATCAGAGCCTGGGCCAAGGTCACATGATCACAAAAAGTTTTTCAAGCTACATACACACTCATGCGGCCGGCGCCCCGCATGCAGGAAGTGCAATCAGTACACAATCAACATACAGTAGTGACTAATTTTAGATCAGTTAATAATACAAATATTGTTAATATGGCAAAAGAATATGAACAGTATTATTAATTTTATTATTATTTTGTTATAGTTAATTCAAATTTAATATTGTATTTGAGAACTACTTTTTATCTGGCCATTAGTCGTGGGGCGGCGCCCTTGTGCCCTGTATTAACCAGCCGCCACTGCTGAAAACTGAAGCCAAATTGGAAGCATCTTAAACCTGCATTATTTCTCCTCTGGTTGTAAAAATAAAGTTGAATTCTATGGGAATTTTCAGCTTAGTAAAACATTTTTTTAAGAAGTTTGTGGTGTCAGTCGCTAGTTTCAAGTCTTTTTCAATACATCATGATGTTTATTTTTGTAAATCATGGTCCCATTTAGAGTAAAGGAGAGGGTAGACTAGAGTATGTTTAAGGGTGTGGCTACCTTGTGATTACTAAGTCACTACTGCATGGGGGTGCTAGTGTCCTCCAGTTCACTTCTGACTCCAAAAAAACAAAATTTTGCAGTCACAATGGTGCTTTGAGCATGTGCATGTTAGGATCCTAGCACACTCTCAATGACAAGCTAACATGTGTTTTTATATATATGCCATGGTCCTCTTGTCTTGGTAATCTTGCTAATTGGTACAAATTGTAATTTTGACTTCATGATGTGGTGAAACACAAAAGCTTTTTGGTTCATCCTGTGAGGGACATGAAGGTGTTTCTTAAATTTCATAGCAATCCATCCAAGTATTGAACTCAAATACTCATGGGTCAACCTCATAGTGGCACTACAGGAAAAAAAAAAAACAGGAATCTTCCAGAGAATCATGAATGTCTATACAAATTTTTATAGTGAACAAGCTAATAGTTTTTTGGATATTTTAGTCTGGACCAAAGTGGCGGCCTGAGGTCGAGCAAATGGAGGGCTTCAAATACCTGGGTGTCAACATCATGCAGGACCTGATGTGGTCCTGTCACATCAACACCCTGGTGAAGAAGGCTCGACAGCGTCTCTACCTCCTCAGACACCTGAGGGACTTTAATCTCCTTCTCATGGTGCTCAGGAACTTCTACACCTGCACCACTGAGAGTGTTCTGGCTGGGAGTGTCACCACCTGGATGGGCAGCAGCACCCAGCAGGACTTCCTGGCTCTCAGGAGGGTGGTCCGCTCAGCTGAGCGCACCATCAGAACCACCCTCCCCAACCTGCAGGACATTTACAACAAACGATGCGGGTTAAAAGCCAGGAAGATTGTGAGCGAACCCACCCACCCCAGCTATGGACTGTTCTCTCTGCTGCCGTCAGGGCGGCGTTACCGCTGCCTGGAGGCAAACACAGAGAGGATGAGGAGGAGTGTCTTCTCTCAGGCTGTCTGCCTGCTCAACTTGAAACAATAGAATCAATAAACAATCCAACCAGTCACTTTCCACCTTGTATATATACAGATATATATATTATTTTCTTTATTTGATCTCCTTTTGCAGTTTGATTGTTTTATTTATTTATTTTTGCTTATTTTTTATCCTCTCTCTTTCTTTCTCTCAATATATATATATATATATTTCCTTTGTGTTTTACTCTTTATTCTTATTCATCTTTTTAACATTGTTTCAGTGTGGAACAGGTGCACAAAGCATTTCACTGCGCGTTATACCATGTAGACCTGTGTTTGTGACCAATAAAGGCCTTGAATCCTTGAATCCTTGACTCCTGACCAGCTCAGTGACATTCCGTCCAGCAAAACCCACTAACATGGCAAAAAAAACAACTGTTGTTCAATATATCAAGTGTTGACAACTTGCTTTCTTGAAGACTTGCTAATTGCGTGTTTTTGTGTAATATTCTTTCATTCTTCCATTCTTTTGAAACAGGACTTTGGGCTTTCACACACAGTATTTTTGCCAGTGTTGGCTCACATGTTTCCTCCTGCAGACTAATGAGGGAGACCACATAATGTGCCTGAGCTGTCCTGTGTAATGATGGAAGCTTTGTGCTGTTCTGTGATCGACTTTAAAAGAATGAAAGCTTGTTTGTGACAGCTGCTTGCAGCTGAAATCTTGGCCACCCAATCATTTACACAGAGCTGAAAGAAAGTCAAACAAAGTGTGGAGCAGCAGCCAGGCAACTAATCAGATGCCAATGTTCCTTCAAATCCTTTTTTTTCTCTTTTTTTTTTTTTTTAGCACAAGCTTTTATTGGAAACACAATAAATGCAGGAGTAAAACTTTCTAATTATCATGTACTTCATGATGAAATATCATCACGCAATCCTCAACTAAAAGATGCAATATTTTAATCAGGTATGTGTTGTTAGGTGGTTGTTTTAAAGCGCCTGAAGCTGAGAAAAGCTCAGTGGGAATCAGTCTCTCAGTTAGCCTGGCTCTACACAGAGAAGGTCATCAAGCTGAGAAGGGAATAGATCCAGCCAAGCTCATTCAGAAGAGTTTCTATATATAGTTTGTCATCAGAATATAATTCCCTCCGCATACATAGTGCAGCAATTCTGCAGCTACATGTACCTTGAAGTGTTGGACAGATTTTTTGGTATTCACATGCTCTGTACACAGCTTCCACACAGACTTTTTATTTATTCAATGTACATTGATACACAGTTTGATAGTACCATGCAGGTAAGAAAAAATGCCTCTGGGTGATATATTCTGGTCAGGATGAAAAGCTCCAGATTAAGTTTCCTGAAAACAACCTTCACTCTAACACCAGCTTTCGCTCCATCTACTCACAAAATACAGATGCTTTTGGGAAACATTGTCCTAAGCAGTACAGAAAGGGATGGTACAGGAGGAACTACGAGGATGAGTACAAAAACATATTCTAACACAAACACCAGCTAGACTGTATGATCTATGGAACATATATGGCAGGACAGAAACCATATCTTTTTAACTCTTTCTGTTACTTATTTATTGATACAGCAGTCAAATAATAAATAATTGGAATTATAATAATGAAAATTCACAGACATGTCATATGATTAACAGGCTATTGCATTCTCTCCCCCCCTCCCGCATCCCATCACAACCCTTGGAGTTCCAACAGGTATGAATTTGTTTACATGCAAATGTCACACCATCTTCACTGTGCCGTCACTTCCGCCTGCCGTCCCTACACACAGTGGCTGAGCAACATGGTGCTCACTACGACTTCTCATCACGCTTCTTCTTCTGGAACTTCCTGAACTGGGACTGGATGGCGACCGCTGCCTTTTCGGTCTCTGGGGCTTCCATGTCGATGTCAAAGTCCTCTGGGACGTCCGTCTTGGACGCATCTGGAAGGAAAAGGGAAAAGAAGGAGGTGACTCAGAGAGGTGTTGTGATTGACGTAGTCAAGTCAGATGAGCTGACATTAATGAAACCACTTCCCGAAACAGTGACTGCCAAACCTTAGCTTAGCAGTCATAAATAGACAGGTCAAGCTTTGAACTTCACTATTTTTTGGAAAACTTTAAACGTTCTTTCTTTCTTTCTTTCTTTCTTTCTTTCTTTCTTTCTTTCTTTCTTTCTTTCTTTCTTTCTTTCTTTCCTAAACCAAAAACAATTGGCTGGACATTTCCCAGTTCAACTGTTATAAAGCAGATGTTTGGCTTTTTGGTTAGAAAGGCAGGACACGTGTCCTTTAATCTTTGGTGTTACCAAAACTTAACCATAGATTTCTATTCAGGATTCTTTAAGTTGCAAGTCTTTACTTTATAGTGTCTCTGGTGCTATCAATGAGTATTGCATTTCTGTTGGAAATGAGGAGTAGTGGTCATCTATCCCTCTAAACAGCCCTCCAAAGGACTAGATGACCTCTAACCCCCCCAATCCCCAAAAGAAATGGTAAAACCCTACCTGACGTAACAACACACAAGAAGGAGGAGAAGGGTCAAGGGGGGGATTACGATTAGGCCTAACTGTACCTGGACTGCAATACAAAAACATAGCAGCTTCTTTATTTCAGTGTCTTCTACATGGATACATGATTGGTGAAGATGCAACATTTTGGCATGTGGGGATACTTCAGCAGTTTAGCATGATATCATGTAGTTTAAGTAGCCCTCCTGTAAATGTATTTTTAAGACTTGTTTTTTTTTTTTTTTTTAAATAAAAGAGATCATATTTTATCTAACAAAAACAGAAATCTGGCATTAACTGAAGTAAAGATACTTTAAATACATAAGAGACAGGAGTAATACTGCAATACTGTTCCAGACTAAACTTTATTTACTAATTTTCATCCCCTGATTTGCTGATACTTTAAGATATCTTTTTCAGTACGGTCACAGTAAATGGCCTGCTTTGTTTTGGGAGTTGGGAAAACAGTAATAAAATGTCGTGTTAGACTTGTAAAATGTCCACAAGTGCTCCTCATAAACCTCATTCCTCCTCGTTGCAGCAGAGCTCAGTTCCTATGGGGGAGTCTGGACAGTTGTTTCTCAGGTCAGAGGGCAAAGCATAAATTGATCTCCAGTTCTTAATCCTCTCTGAAGCTTAGCCAACATCGACAAAGAGGACACAACTGTAATCCCAGTAAATACTGATTCAAGCTGGTTTGAGCAGCTTTGTATCTTCTGGTCAATGAGGCCGCATGCAGCGCAGAACCCCCAGATACCGGAAATCTTTATATGATAAATGATGGATCATCAAATCTGAATTTTTTATGTAAGTTGAAAGTACATGGCAGATAATTGTATTCTTTAAATATGCATATATGGACTGAATTTTACAGCATGCTTAAATATGCAAACTGTGAAAGCTTGTAAAGACCTACATAACTTTAAAAATCTGGTGACAGAATATTTGTATTTTAAAGGTTAATGTCACAGCTCTTTAATAATTCCCCAATAGGGACTACAAGCATTCGTACAGATGTTACATATTTCAGCATAGTGTAGTAGTAAAAAGTGTTAACTACTTGTCAAATGGTGCTACACATGAAAAATAGTAAATTCAGGAGTAAAGGATTAGACTAATCAGACTAATCAGTCACGGTGTTGCGGATAAGAGTTTTATTGATTAAAAATGTGTCATCTGTTGTTACTTTTTTTTGCCTGAGAGGCAAGCATTATGGGGATTTCAGCTTTATTGCAGCAGGGATATTCAGGACTTTGAGAGGCCATGACAAGCTAACATTTACCCAAGCAGGTTTCTCTGTGGCTCTAACGTCTGTCAGCAACGGCTTATGCCACCAAGAATAACAGTCAAGAAGAACATGTTCCTCTGGCCCCCTGAAAACTGTGATCTCAGCACTGCTTTTGCAATATATGGGATAACTGTTACTCTTTTACAAATCTACATTCACCAGATCAATCATTCTCAGAGTGAAATGAAACCCAATCATCAGCTGGCTGTTTTAACCTTTTTACTTTTCAGTGTAACTAATGATTCTCGACACGGAGTTTATTCCATTTCTCTGCCTTACAACGCTCCTGCAGAGGATTGATCTGCTTGAGTTTGATCAGCAGAGCTCACTGTAGAGAAACACACGACAGACAAGCAGAATAGCAGAGAGGCGACTCATGTATTGACTGCGCAGCTAATCCTTAGGTTCCCTCGGGGCTGAGCTTGAGTACCTCTCCCTCGCTGTTCAAGGAGGAAACACTAACTGCTGTGTCAAGCCGAGCTTTGAATCCTGCATTAATTGATATTGAATTTTCCAATGCTCTAATGCCTGCTGTTTTCATCCCTGCAGCACAAGCTATTGAGTTGTGCCCTCTGCCGTGTCAACACCAGACATGTTCATAATCTTTGTACGACAAGCGGGTGATGTCTGAAAGACGTCTGGATTGTTGGAGTGCAGAGTGAAGGCAGAGGATGGATGTGATGTGGTGCTGCCTTCAAGTGCTGGAAGGAATATTGTGACTGAGAACATGTTAGGCTTAACAAAGTAATGAAAAATGAGTTTAGTTTTCTGTATTTCAGCCAAGGAAGTGGCCATAAAGGTCAAATGGTTTTACTGTTAATGTATCATTATGCTTTAATCAAGTTCTGATTAGTATCCTCCCTTTTTTTTATTCATAAAAAGTGTCCAAGCATGATATAACAGTCATTTTCAGATTCAAATGCTCCTTTAGAACCTCCAAACCTTTCCTTCTTTAGCGAGGCACAAGAGACAAAAATATGAAAATGTGTAGGACCACTGTCATAAACGAGGATGAAAAACCGTACCAGCCAGCTCTAGGGTTAGTGAATTTAGAGTCGTTAACAAATAATGATCAGCCACTCCCCGGCTGACTACAGAAATATATTTGGCTTAATAAAACCATGGCACTGGCAAAGTAGTGTAAAGAGGGTTAAATAGTTTATAATTTCAGTGCATACTGAGGGTCATTCTGTGAGGGACAGCACCTGTGAGTTCCAAGTTCCAGCATATGGCAGCCTGGATGGAGAGAAATCTGCACGCATTTTAAGGGAATTAAGTATTTTTCCTGGACTAAGTGCTATGCAAACAACAAAGGACACAGCGCAGCCAGCATGTTGAAAAGACAGGAGCCAGTACGTGAGCAGAAGCTTGGACCCGGAAACACTATTATCGGAAGGTCAATACCTCACGTCTTATCAAGCGGATAAACAATAAAATCTGTTTATCTTTGTTAAAAACGTTCAAGCAATATGTTGTTCAAACTAGATGTGATGGAAAAGGGCTCTACAAACACAGGATCCAAACAAAAATGACTCTTTCCCCTTGTCAAATCATAAATGAAGATTGAATCTTATTTATATCACCTTTTACAAAAACATAGGAGGTTGAAAGTGGAGGTTGAGGTGGTGGGAAAAGTTCACCCTGTTTTTTTAAAAAAAAGACTGTTTCATCACTAAATTCAGTATATCATCACACAAGAATGCGACAAACCCAATTTTTGACAAGTGTAATGCAGCACCTTTAGTATGACAAGTGTTATTATGGACATGTTATACACCTGCATGGATATGGTTCGATGTTACCTGTCAAGGTGGGAGCTGCAAGGTGGTTAGCACTGCACTGTTGCCTCGCAGCTAGAAGGTCCCCAGTTTGCATCCTAGTTAGGACACCCAGTATCATTCTGCGTGGCTTTTGCATGTTCTCCACGTGTAGCATGGGTTGAGGTTAATTGGTGATTCTAAATTGTCCGTAGGTGTGAATGTGAGTGTGCTTGGTTGTCTGTCTCTAAGTGTAGTCCTGTGGTGGCCTGTCCAGGGTGTTCCCTTCCTTCGCCCTGAGTCGACTGAGATAGGTTCCAGCCCCCCACGACCCTAGTGAGGATTGGATGGTGTATAGATAATGGATGGATGGATGGATGGTCGGGTTGGTTAATGCAAGCACAGTTTCATTAGCTGAGCTGCCTGAAGTAACCTTGTGCTACATCTCTGTCTGTCTTCAGGGAACACTATAAGAGTCAAGAGAATCAAACAGCAATAATGAATATGTCTCTTTTATCAAAGCTTTACAGACACTATGTTTAGATTTCTGACTCTCATGAGTAGCTGAAGTCTTCTACTTTACCACCTTCCTCATCAATCTGCACTTGCATCCTCTATGTTGACCTCCATGCAGCAACCGTGACACATTATTTTAAACATTTCATAGTTTTCTACACTATTCTTCTTTCAATCTGCCACCGCAGTGCAATTTACTCGACAACAAAACCAATTAACAATAAAAACCATCACTTTGATGCTGCACAAGTCATGTCACACTGTCAGCAGTTTCATTTTAAACCTCAATTATGCATGTGCTGCACATGTTTTTGTAACCACTGCAAACTAATTAACTTCAGTTTAATATTTGTGGGGAATCAATTGCATCAATCTAAAAGAAGCACATCATCATCTTGATGAAGGCTTTGAGGGCAGATTTTCATCAGTTTTGGTGAGACAGGAGGCAGCGGCTGGATGTGACAATGACGGATCATTCTCCTTAGCGTGAGGATCCATCTCCTCAACACACACACAACGGATTTTCAAGCCTATTACATCTGGCAGCACTTTCAGTGTCCCTGTCTTCACCTAATGGGTGTGTAATATCGGCTGTCAGTGTGCCATTCTGGATCATCTTGACTGTGCTTTCAGCAAGGAGAACAAAAATGTGTTTACGGTGTTGGTGTGTGGTAGCTGCTGAAATAGAAACTCATATACTACTTGGTGTGAGGCTCAGGGGATTTACTTTTTTCACATAACTTCACTGCCCATTGCCAACTTTATCTTCAGTGTAGTTTAGATGGAATGGATTCATAAGTGACATGGTAAGACCATCTTTGGTTGGCTGTCTTTCAAAATGCCTTTTAAAAGCTGCTTTGATACCCAGTGAAAG